CGGCACAAATGTTGTTCATGAGTGACAACTTCTTATCATGACTTCTGAATCCCATACAGCACAGAGCGCTTTTTCCAGCCAGTGGATATCCACACTGGTCGCCTGATGCTGGGCGCCGGTTTGGGCTTCGTCTGTCACATCACAGTGACCTACGGGGCCAACAGCAAGGCATTCAGGCACGTCATTGAGGCCTCACGATCTAGCTGGCTGCAGGAACACTTTGCTGACATGAGCAGAAAGTGAGTTGAACTGTCGCCAACGACAAGTGAATTAGTATGTTTACATTGTCTCAGTGGCTGATAAGAAAGACAAGTGGAAGCTCTTGCCATTGAATTGAAAGACAATGGGTGATCAGTACCGCATTTAATTACGCAGATACACCATTATAAGCGGATGGCAGATGGTTTCATCACCATTGTTTTTTTTTTTTTTCAATCAGAATTTCGTTGTAAAATCTTATCCCGCTTGGAATACTATCAATTTCTTTGGTCCTTCATCAGTTTTGGTGGGCTTGTAAGTACTGTCTTAAAATTGTCAGATCTATTCCAAGGGTCGGGTGATCTCACTCTTCCTACGGTAATTACTTTTTCTACTCCTACTTGAAATATCAAATTTGTGTTTGTCCTTTGTCAGCTTTTGTGCAGTAGTTCCAGGGTTTGATCGCCTCCTCCTTCCCAGGGTGAACCCCTTCGTCTTGATTGCCATGGCTGGTGCCCTTGCCCTCCTCATCACTGATCTCCTGGTGGACGTCAAGTAAATATCCCCTTAACCCTAGCTCTCCCCAATCCCCCCAAAATCCTCTGGGCAGTTTTAGAGGATTTTGGAGAACTGAGGCTAAACTGAGAACTGTTTGCACTCCGCCATGCCATGCATAAATTCATGCGTAGATTTAACACGAAATCATCCACACTATTTCAAGATACCATTAACACTGCCTCCACATTATTACACAAATTGCCAGAGGATTTTGAAGGATTGAGGCAGTGGTCACTCCTCTAAGGAACATATTCAAGAAATAAGGGAGGATTTTGGAGTATCAGTAGTTTTCAAGTCATTTATAGATGTATACAGTGTACAAAATTCACTTGAGCATCGCGATCATTCTTTGTGTCTTTATCATTTTCTGTGGCATTTCACACCTGCCTATCATTCATAAAGGAACCAGGAAATGTATTTTTCTTAGAATCACTTTTTGTGTACTCTGTACTTTTCTTCCATGTACAAAGATAGTTTTACATCTTTTTTGAGATATGTGAATTGAACGGTGTCACTTTCGCAAACATTGAAAAGTGATCAAGCATTTCAGGACAAGTGAGGGCACTTTTTGCTTTGATGTAAATCCAGGAAGACACGGTTCAGGTTGCATATGTTTCATTGTGAATCCCAAATTTGCTATCTGGGAACTTTTCTGTGAGAAGGATTGTTGCTGGATTATTGCCATATACTTACACAGCAATAAATTGCCAAAAAAAAAAACCTGCCATAGCAGTGGTTACAAAAATCTAGAAATTTTCTGTGCACAAATCAGTGCAACATTGAGATTCTGTGCCTTGGATGACATCATAGTTCTGCTCATGAATATGCAAATAATATCAGCATAAAAAAAATCAAAATATGGGTTAAAATTGCAAAACAAAAATTCAAAATAAGGTTAATTGAAACCCAAAGATACAATTTCAAGGGTTTTTAGTAAAATTTATAAAAATATTTCTATTTCCTGGTTTCTTTAAATCCTTTTTATTTGTATTTTGACTGATATTTATTTCACAGAATTGATTTTGAAATTTATTTCCATCATAACTGGATATTTAATGCAGTCATTAACATATTACTCGGATATTTATCCTGCACGACTCTTGCCCCTTTCTGTTATGTAGCAATTACTTTGTAGCGGACACCCTAGCAGCTGTTTCCATAGCCCTGATGACCTTTGGTACCATGCTTCCTATGAGTATCTACACGGGTACCATCCTACTGCAGACATCTCCCGCTCACGTCATTGGACAGCTGGATAAGAGTCTAAGAGAGGTTTGCTGAATCTGTTTTGATTCTTGTTGCTTTGAACGGAGACTGAAGTTGCTTACCAAAATTTGCAGTGGTCTGGGTGGCTGCATGCAGTATACTATTCAAGAATATATATTGCAAGAATATATTTGAGTGCCTTTGCATGGGTCTTAAAACCTACATGTAATAATGCTGTGCCTAATGCCTGAACCAGTGTTGTATTCAAATCCATCACAAGTCCTTTCATAATTTCCTTCACAAGTCCAGTCACAAGTCTCTTCACAAGGCACGTCATAAGTAACAGGGTGAGCTGTGACAAAAGAACACTTTTGTCACAACTCATTTGAATAGCTTAAGAATTGGCTTAAGACTGAATGACTTATGATGGGCTCGAATACAACACTGGTCTGAACTCAAAATCCTGTTAAGCCAAGTAGTAGGCAGCCATATTTGTCAGTTTAATGCCAATACTGTCTAACTGAGCTTGTGGACACTTTTGGCCATGAGCTCACGTTCCAACCTGTGATCATGGTTGACTGTTGAATGGATGATTTTGTCATCTGATATTTCTTCAATGATTCTGACTATTTCCCTGTCCATCACAGGCCTCAACCCTGGACGGTGTGCTGGAGTTTCGCAATGAGCATTTTTGGACAGTCTCGTTTGGTGCCATCGCCGGTTCACTTCATGTCCGAGTGCGTAGAGATGCAAATGAGCAGGTGCGATTCTGATACCTGAACTCACACATTTATTCTCAGTCTGTTAATCTGCAAAAGGGACACTATGAACAAATTCATTGCATGCATGTTTATAACCCTCCAAGGGTGTTCGTGCAGTATGGAGCAGAAGCAGAACTAGAATTGCCAATTAAACTGGAAAGCAATTTATTACTACAAACAGAAAAAGTTATTTGTCTCGATGATCATAAAAAGAACAACCCTAAGTTTTTAACGTGCATATTTTTGATAAAGGGACAATTTTGAACTGTTCTGTTGTCTCATTTTATTTTAATTTTAAATTTTCTTGCAAAAACTTTCTTCGAATGTAACAGTGTAGACAGATTTCAAGTAGTTATTTTCCTCACCAAGCTGAATTTGTCTAAAGAAATAGTTACCAATTGTCAATGTTTGCCAGATTGTACTCATTGTAAGTTATATGTTGGTTTTTTTTTTGCAATCTTTTCAGATGGTTCTTGCCCATGTTGCCAACAAGCTCTCCCACCTTGTCTCAACTCTCACCATCCAAGTTACCAAAGATGACTGGACCCGTCTGACTCCCCTCTCCTCTTTCCCAGGGGAGGCCCTGTCCTCTAAGCTTCCACCCCCTGCCCCCCTCAACCCCAACTTTGTCGCCAGCAACCCTGGACTGAACACCTACTCAGCTGCCACATCATTACAACAACAGCAGCAGCAAAAGAGCCTTTATGACTTCCAGATTCCTGCTATGCCGAGCAGGGCCTCCAGCACTCCGTACGGAACACCCAGCCGAGACCTGAGTTTCCACTCCGGAATTGGGCCCATTTCCTCCCAAGGGGAGTTCAACTCGCCCGCCTTGGACAGATACAGCACGGATCCACAGCTCAAAGGAATCTTGAGAACAGGTGGAATGGGGCTGAGGACATTACCGCCCAATATGGCCAACAGCCGGCCCCCTACAAGTAGCCGCAGCGCTGTTATCGATGTGAACAGCCTGGGTACCGCAAATCTCTACACACAGGGGAAAATCCTGACAGACCAAAATCATCTGCATTTTGATTCGTGAAACTTCCTGTACATCCAAATGCAGATCATGTTCTCATTCAAAGGCCAACTCTAAGTTGTTAATATAATCAGATATTTTATTGATGGACCTGTAAATATGTATATGTCTGTGCTACCTTTTTTTTTTTAACTCAAAGTAAAAAAAAGATGAAACAAGAAACACGTACTGTCCAGACAGGTATTTACAATTAAGTAAAACAAGTTTTCTGGTCTAGTTATTACCTTCTGTCTTGTTCACAGTCAAGAAGGTTTATTTGAAAGGAATTTTCTTTATTGGAATTTTCTACTTTATGTTGTAGTTTATGATTCAGAAAAGCCCTTGAGGTCATGTTGAAACGTTCGGAAAGGTTGGATAGGTGATCCATTTGTGCGTGAGCCATGCATCTTGGAGAAGATTCCGAAATGGTCCTAAGCAGTTTGTATCAGAACTAACACACAAGACACTGCATTAATTCTAACAAAAGTGGGGGCGGGGGCGATATTTGTTTCTGTTGATGTGCACGATGCACACAGGCAGACACGCGTAAGGGAATGAACTTTAAATGACCCCAACAGCAAAACTGTATGTCATATTGCATGGAACTTCACAGGTGCTTGTGTAATTTGAAAAAGAACGAGCGTGGAACAGCTGAGATCTTGGCCCACCTTCTCCTTTCCTCTCAGCTTAAAGATGACTTGAAAGAAATCCTCCTTTTTTAGGGTTAGGGCAATGAATATTTGCCACAATTTCTGCAATCGTGCTTATGCTCTATTCCCCACTAGAAAACCAGTGTAGCACTGTGAGGTGAACAATTAAAGTTGAGAGGTATTTTTATGCTGACCCCATTGCCTCCCTCGAATGCATTATCTTAAATTTGTCCAGAGGAATGCAGGCTCATTTTGAAGTCTCTCAGGGACCAGTTTCCCCAGAAAACTGTAAAAGAAAACCATAAGCCTTTTGAAACACATTCCCTTTGGTATTCCATTTTCACAAATATTATTTGCGGATGCACTTGTCATAAGAAACCATGGTCATTAATGGTTCCTGAGAATGAACAGCCGCAGTACCTCAGTAAGATTCAACATTTTTGTTGTGTCTTCTTTGTCAAGTGGTTGAAATGTACCCAGTAACATTAATAATGAGTGTACCTCAGCAGCAAAATGTGCATGTAGACTATGGCTTTACGCTGTGTATTAACCTTGAAATTATAAGATGGAGGGTGAAGCATGCTTGCTAATTTTGTTCAAACAGGCTGTTTACCAGTATGACTACAGATGGCCAGTAAATCACACTTAATCTTCTGGTCAACAATAAAAAGGGACAGACTCTTCAAATTGGACAAAAGGAATGTAGTCACATGTCCACCCTCACCTGGAATCATGCACAAGGGAATTCCTGGATCAGTGAAATGAAATTAATACAAGTGGATAGCTAAATAAAGTTGTGCACATAAGGAGGAAGTATTGTAGCATTGTGTCAGTGACTCAAAAAGGAATACTCAAAAATGTTCCATTTTGTAGTTTAGTCCAAAGTTCCAGAAGTCCCTGCAAGTTCATTACAATTAAAGTTATTCATAAGTTATTTATATGAACTGTGACACAAGCATTCACTTATTCACCCTGTTACTTACCACTGGTATGGGCATCGACAGGTTTGCTTTGGGGGAAAGAAAGGGCAAAGCACTCTGCAGCAAACCGACAAACCATTAATCATGAAAGAATGCCAAAGCAAACAGTGGTGATCTTCAGCCCCTTTTTCAATATTTTTCCATTTCTTTTGTCAATTTGTCAATATTCCACCCTTGCTCCTCCATCATGCCAACCATGATGACTGGTCTTTTGGAAAACCATGGACTGGACTTAAGAAAGGACTTGTTGAAGATGTCGCATTCTGATGTTATCACTGGTGTATCCACTGCATATCTGCTTGCTGAAGTGGGATCTAAAGAAATGTTAGAACCTCAAATTGTTTGACTTTTACTGGCCAGAATGGGGGTGATTAGGACCCACAGCTCATGTTAAGTGACTTGTCACAAAATATGAACACTTTCAATTGTCTCCATGTGAGTGAGTTTTATTTTACTGCACAACAGAATATTTCGATTTCAAAGAGAGAAAGAATTTCAGCGCCAGTCATAGGAAGCATTATGTCATTGCCAGCCTAAAGTTTGGTTAGTGCTAGCTGTGTGACGGAAGTTGTTCTCATCAGTGTGTAGATTGAAGGACCCTTTTTATGTGTTTTTTTTTTTATGCAGATCTTGTAATTGCTCCTTTGTGTCTCATTTGATTTTCAGTTGTGCTGTTTTAAGGGAATGTTGCTTTCTCTTTTATTTGCAGATTTGCATATTTATGAGCAAAAACATAATTTCATCCAAGAAAATCTCTTTGTTACAGTTATTTTTGCACTAACATTTGCCAAAGTGTGGATAATTTGCAGTCCTGAATTTTTGTGAATTTTTGTTTCATGACAATAGGCTAGCGAGCAAAGTTTCTTCACATATCCTCCATGAGCAAATTTTGGGTTCACAGTTTGAACAAAGAAAACGAACCAATCGGTCATCTTTTGTTTCTACATCCGCACAAGGAATGGCATGCCCGCAGACACACATGCAGAGCAGCAATGCATTTCGACTGAATCAGTTTATTGAGGGGGAACTGAATCACTTGGTGGATCATTAAATAACATGTCCCTCGCTTCAGTAAAAATATTTTGCACCAAGACCTGTCTGTACAGTACATCCATAATACTTGTTCAAGACCTCCTTCAAAAACAAAAGCACATGCATGGCATTGTCCTTCCTAACTTTTCATTTGGAGAAGAGTAGGTTTCTGGGAAAATTATGTGCCAGGTTCCTTGAAGTATTAAAGTGTTGAAAGTGATGCACACTGTACTAGTCTGTTGAATAATATTCATCTCACCCTAGAAACCACTCTTCCTTAAACACAAATCTACCTCAGTTTGTTTACTCAGTGAAAGTTGCATGCAATAAATCTTATTATTAAAGATCATTTGTGGCTTATTGACTGCACATTTCAATTGATGCAGTGTTTAGTTTTAAAAGAATTATTTATTTTGTAGCCAGCTATCCGTAGATATTGAAAAAAACCCAGAAAAGTCATGTGTATTAAAGTTTTTAAGTAGGCAGACCATTTCAAGTGAATGCTCAAGGTCAAGCTTTGAAATTAACGTAAAAAAAATAATCTCAAATTTGTTTTTGTAATGGAATTTGAGTACCAGTACAAAACCAACAAACCAAGGAGCCCTAAAGCACTTATTCACTTGAAACTAACCCACTTATTAAAATCATCGGCCATTCAAGGCCATCTTTTATCCACATTTAAAACGTAATATACCAATCCTCTCAGCTGCTCAGATTGATTGTCCAGGCTCAGGAAGGGATGGGGGGAGGGGTGCTGTAGCATGCCTACTTTTTTGAACAGGGGTGTAGGAATATACACATGCTCTTATATGCCGAGTACACCAGTGCTCATCACAGGCTAAATATACACAGCACCCCTGGGCACTGATATGTTTCAGTCCTGGTGTTACTCATTGTTAAATCGTTTGGATTGAGGTTACAAAGGTCATTGTGGCAGACAGGCTGTTCAACTCTGAGCCTGCCTATTAAGATACAGGTGTGTCTTGGAAAGCCAGGCTGTAGTCTGTCTCTACTGTTCCTTGCTGAATGTTACAATAGTAAGGAACTTCATATCCAGTTTGTGAGTTTTTATTAGCTTTGGATTTGCTATATAGCATGCTCACCAATGCATGTGCTGAATAGCTTCTGAGTTCAAGTAAATCATTTGTGTTTGTAACGGTCTATGTCTGCATGTAAGTATTATATTTTTCATTATTATTTTAGTGTAGTTATATACATTTGTTGTAGTGTATACCACACATCTTAATTAACTAGAACGTTTATGCATATGTGGATCAGGCCATTTCATGATGTAGCTTGCACAGTGCTTGCTGAGCTGGTTGCATCCCTCTGATAAATGGCCAATACATACTTGGATCTGATCCATATAAAGGGAAGTTAATTTCACAATTTGGGTTAAGTGGAAATATCTGTGTTCAATGTCAACTTTTAGCTGACAGGTACCAACTTAACACCATTAATTTGAATAAGCAGATTTCTGCCACAAATCTGAGGGAGAACAAGGAAGGAACTAGATCACTTGTAGGTCTCAACTTTTTTGTTCAGTGGCCTTATAGACCCAGGGCTTACTGGATAATTTTCCCCTGATGTTAAAGATTCCAAGCATTTTGATCTCAGAAATGGTCCCAGCATCAGAAGGATTTTATTTGTACATGTATCTGGGAACTTGTCTTTCAACTTTACTTCCAGTCCTTGCAAAATGGAGAGAAACGTAAAGCAGCGAAAGGGGAAAAAACACACGTCTGGTTCCAAACCATCTGTGCAGCCTGAGAAATCCGCAAGCGAGAGGTATGAAAACCCTTAGAAGTACTGAGAAATGCTGTGCAACTGTTTCAAATCTCTGAAACTTCACGATTACCATCATCGCTTCAAATAATCGATTTTTTTTAATTCAGTAGATATATATATCATATTATTGCTATGTTTTGAGAAGTGCAAGACATGTTTTCAGCACCCAAAATGTGCAAGGTCAACCCACCAGTATAATATTTGCAGTGCCAGGGCATATGTCAAACTAGTCAAGGCTCTTGCAAACTTATACAAAAAAGTGGAGAGATTAAACCCACAGGTAGAGAATGGGGTGAAGCATACCACAATACAAATGCACAACCCATATCAAAGAATATTGGCATTATGTGCACATAGTGGCAATATGAAAGAAATGGCTCCTCATTCAGTGCTGTATAGGCTACCACATGTACATGCACTTTCCACGACCCCATTCATTCTGTCACTGTCGCGCCCATTCTAAATCTAGTGCAATTAAAGTATGTCTTGATTCGAGCCACGGAGCTGGATTTAACACCAGACCATATTTCAAATGTTACCTCCTGGTAATTTTAGGCTGAGATGTTTTAGTTGTATCCATGTTCTCGGTGATTTTGAACCCTTCAAAATTTGAGTACCTAGCTACTTCTTTTCATTATTACAAGGAACAGTCCTTGTCAGGGCAGATTCATTCAGTTCAAATTCTATACATGTACGTGTACTTCATGGTTGTACATGCATTGATCTTCTAAAATGCTACGACAATGGGTTGCTTAGTCAGAAAATCAAACTTCAAAATGATCCTACATGGCATGGTAAATCACTTTCTTAGGGTTGACGGTGAAATTTTGGGAAATTGTTGTGCTGTCCCAAGACTGCAAAAGGATTCAATGAACTTGAGCTTGTGTAAGCCTTTTGTAAATTATCTGTACATTTCTTGCAAAGGGGTGTTGAGCTGAGTGCCCACAGTCACTTTGATCCTGATTCTGCCACTATGAATAGGTTTATTTTGGGGACAAAGAACAGGACATGGCCACAGCTCTACAGTTTTGTACCATTATATTCTATTGTCATTTACTTCAGTGATGGATGATTATTTTATGAAAAGAAACCTACACGTAAGTAGCTTTTAAAGATTATCTGTTTCTTTTATAACTGCAGGTCTGCATGGAGTAAAAGGCTTACTGCATGTGCTGTTATGGCTACTGCATTAGGCATTGTGGTATACCTTCTGCCTAGCCCAGTTGATCCAGTTCCCCTTTAGTAAGTTGTCCTGTTAGTAATTCCAAGATCCTTGTTATAGCACTCAGTTGAACATTATGAGCATCAAGCAAATGCTGAATTGAAAAATGTATTCACACATGGGCAATTTTGCTTTTTTTAAGGTTCATTGGGCCTAGGTAGTATCCAGTGATAGTCTAAAACAAAGTCATGTGCAGCTCCCAGTTTTAAAAGCGACATGTATGTGTATATAAAATCAAAACTGTTAGTGGCATCAGCCATTGAGGCACAGAATTCTGTACAGTGTAAGCTTTTCAGGGGCAGCCAAATTTGCAATAGATCGGTGTGGTTAAATGGATTCAGCAACTTTATTTACATTTAATATTTTGTATGAAATCCAACTTTTCCAGCTGTACTTTGTGTTCCTCAATAAAAATAATTCAGTGTCCTTTATGGCCCCTTGTGTGGGATATGCTACTGGACAGTTTTTTACGGATGTAGATATGTCCTTGCTCTCATTGTTATCAACTGGGATGCAACTGTGAAAAAACTCCTTACACTTACATCCACTTAGAAAATGATCATTTTTAATTGATATCATTTCCTGCACTGTACCAACAAGTGAATAACTCACTGAAAGGCTCTCTGTTTACTTTAAAAGGTTAGTAGCTTTTGTTGGCTGGGTACAAAGTGGGTAAAATGTGGTGGTGCGTATCCAATGCAGCATTTAAGTTACTGTGGCAGATATCCTTGTTAAGTAATCAAGAACTTATACGTGATAGGTCAATATGCTGAGATAAGAGGACATTACTTCTGTGGTTTTGATCTGGAATGATAAGAGATATTGCAAATCCGGATATGTCATCATGTCTGTTGATGAAACATACTTGATGTGACCAAAGTGTTGTCCTTAAAATGAATCGTCATCTTTAAGTGAATTCTTGGTCAGTTTTCGTTGTGGTAGGAAAATTTTAAATATTGGAATTATTAAAACCAATTCTGAACTTGCTGTACAGAAAAAAATGAAGAAAAACTTTGTCATGACCAGGGTCCTACTTTTGTGGCTGTACTTTTTGATCACCAAATTGTACTCAAAGCATTAAATAAGGAATTGTCTGTGTTAATGGAAGAACACATCATTGTCGTTATATTTCTTGTTAACTGTTGAAATGTGCTAGTCACTACTTAAAAAATGGTTTAAGCAGAGATCTTTTTAACCCATACGGTAATTATCAGAGCCATGAAATTGGGCCCCGACTAACAAACAACTAAAACATTTAATTGATACGTGTAAATGCCACCTTTGGTTTGAGGACCATTTTCAAAAGACCACCACTGCAGGGCAAATTAAATTCAGCTGTTAAGCAATGACATTTGCTAAGGACATCCAAAAATATTTGCTAACCAAATCAGGTTTTTATTTACCTGACAGAATGCACTGTACATTGCTTGTGACCATACTTTTCATTGTGTGTTTTTCTAGTTTACTTTGCTGCTTAGCACAGAAATAGGACGAGCACTTGCTTAGCAGCTCCCGGAAATTGATTTTTTTTGGTGTTTCATTTAAACCTTCTAGCTTGCCATCCCCTCCGGTGCTGGAAGGACCCCTAGCACCAAATACATTACTTCAAGGAGCAGAGAGGCTGCTGGAGGGAAAAGTGTTTGGACCAGAGGCTTTGGAGATGAGAGATGGTATGATGCTGATTGTTGGTTTACATCTGTATACATGTTGGTGGATAGAGAGTTCCAAGTTTTGTGTCCCAATATAAAGGCAGAATTCTGAAGGTGCTCTATCCAGAAAAGTTGTAAAACTGTATCTGTGAAGCACAACTGAATTTGGCAAATGTCATTGACAATGCTGCAGAGTTTGAGTGTACACTGACATTTAAATGTAATTTTGGGGGAAAACATACCCGTAAGAGAAGAGAAACAAGAAGAATGTAGTGATTTAGATAGTATTCATAGAGACAATTTTCTAGTGGAAAAAAGAAAAAGAGAAATTTTCTGATTGTTTGACAGTTCTTACCCTCTGTGCAGCCTTTTAGATATTTTGTCAACTTACTCTTTTTAACTGGCAAAAGCTCCAGCTCATGAGGTGATATGTGTATATCATATGTGTGTATATGTGTATATGATATGTGTGTATGCTGGCAAATGTCTTCACAACACAGTCTACATTATTACAATTCTCTTTCATATGTGCCCTTCGTTGGATATTTCATAGTCATGGTGGCATACCCGTATGTTCCAGAAATCTGTAATGGGGGATTATTACTTCTCTTTATCAGTCTGGAGTATAACCACATATGGGCATAGTGACCTTGCCCCGTGTCCCTACTCATACAGCAATTCAATGGTAGATATCTTAAATTGGCAACAATGAATTTTAAAGTGCATTGGTACAGACATATTTCAGAACGTGTAGATGATGTCTGTAATGTTGTTTGTTTTTTTGCACAGCCAACCAAATTTTTGCAAATGGAACATTTTGTCGGTGTTTTTTGTTCCATACACTCTAACGCTTAAGAAAAGCACCTGTAACATGGAAACACCCACACAATATCTTGTGGGCTGCTAAAACAGGCCTTGAAATTAGTCAGAATATTGCACAAGATTTGTGACTTAATAGCCTGTCCAAATAGGATAATACTCCAGACTGTTTATATATGCATTGATAAAACCTGTAAGTGAGTGAGTGGGCAGATGCCTGTCTACTTTGTGCATCAGACACCCTTTGTTTCCATAAAACTATGGTCACTGTTTTTCCCTGGATGACAGGTGCAGTGTACACGGGAACTGGAGATGGACAAGTTGTCAAGATAGAAAATGACCAAATAACGACCATTGCAAGGTTTGGATCCCCGCCCTGTGGTATGTCTTGTTTGGACGTTAACGTAGACTATAACCTGAAGAGATGCCACAACTGTAGTGGCACCACACTTACGTGCGCATTCTTAACCTTGGCATGTTCACGCTTTTGGCAAATCATAATACTTATTACTCTAAAGGCACGTAATGTGCTTACCACCTGCCTGGTGATACTACCTCTCTGGTGGTAAGCTGACCACATTTCTAATTCTGGTTGCCAAATTACACTATTGAACTGTTCAAATGCACACTATTCCTTTCCAGTACATGAAGATAGTCAGATTTAGTGAGATTGTGAAGGGTGGCCGCAAGTTTTTATTTTTAATGTTGCCGATTGCTAGTGTTCTGGAAAAGCCTCGCCAAGCAAAGAAACTGAATTTTCAATGGGATCGATGACCACCGAGCAGAGATATTTCAAGGAAAGTTATGACTTGGGAGTTGAAGTTAACAGTAGTGCTGCAAGTAGGTGCCAAGGTTTGGTTTGGGTTCGGTTTGGACGTGGTTTGGAAATTTTTGGCCGAACTTTGGTTTGTTTCGGACACGTACACATAATGCACATTGAGACGTTGAAGAGCACGCTACGAACGAACGTGCCATACATACATGTGGTACCTCCGTGTGTAAAATACGTTAATACAAGCAATGAATCTCCTCTCCATCCCCAGCTATGAGCAACTTCGATGTGAACGTAATTTTTGTCTAAACTGTTTCCCCAAAGTTTGTTTAGGAGTTAAAATTCCATAGAAATTTACCGTTGGAGGTGTGACAGTTTCTGACCTTGTTTGCCGCCCAAAGCAGTCATGTTTGGACTACACTTGATTCAACAAAATGATCGTAGGATATGTGAAAACTGAAAAAAAACAAAACAGCATGCTCAAATGGGAGTTTCCTCCTTTACAGGATACAAGAGCAAATTACATTTCGAGTGCATTGTGTTTTGGTTATTTTTCACAAAACAGATTCAACTGCCAAACCATGGCTTTCGATGTATTCAGGGAAGAAACTTGGTATTAAGTCAGCATTCTCAACAGAGACCAAAAGCTTAAGCAGCCAGTTAAATTTGTGACGAAGTACGATGTTATTTTCAGGAAGGGACAGTTTGGGAAATTTTTTCTAATGAAGCAATGGATAAAATTTAACAATAAAATGAAGAGGATGGCTTTTCAACCATTCTTACACAATCACTCAAGTTGATATCAATGACTGTGTCGGGATCATTCAGTTTTAAATGTTAAAAGATAAGAACTTAGTGATAAACTGCATTTTGCTGCCTTATATAATTCAATAGACCACCTGCTCACATTTGTTGAAGAGAGCATGCCTTCTGAATGATCAACAGTTTAAAGCTGATGATGGAGTGTTTTAATTATAGGCAAAATGTGCCATTGCTCTCTGCTCAACACTGGTAACATTACCAATGATTCGAATAAGTCATTATTTATTGTCTTTATCACAAATTGGTGAAATTAAAAGGCAAATAAATCACCTTTGCAATTAATTGCATGTGCCGTCATTCGGCAACATGTATTCTACCTACATGTACATTGAAACATACCCATTGAACAGAATGCCTCGAGCCAGCATTTTTGGTTTGGTTTGTTGTGTGCAGGACTTCAAAAAGATGAGCACAGGTGTGGGCGGCCACTGGGACTGCGGTTCCACTCTGATGGATTTCTGTACGTGTTAGATGCGTATCTTGGGTTGTTCAAAGTAAATGTGGAAACAGGTAATGAAGTTGGAAACGATTCAAATTAATTACAGTCACCAGTGGGCAAGTACTCCTGTAACTCTGCTGTGTGATGAGACCTTGAACAAAGTCAGTTTAGAATAATCAAATTTAAAAATAGAGATGTAATAATTTTTACGAAGCTTGTTTGCAGTTGGAAGTTTTTATGTATGCTCTGAATACACATTTAAGTTGTCAATCAACAGAGATCCGTGTACTTTGACCAAAGAGCCGGATGTGTTTGTTCCTCATCAAGGGCTGTTTTTAGTGTTGTTGCTCTCCACTCATCTGTACATCCTGTTAGTTCACAGTGACCTTAAGTCCACTTTTTGACGTGTCCCATATTTGAAGTCATTCCTGGCCTTTCTCAAGGTCTTGTGTACTGTGCTGATACAAGGCTGTGTGCTGATATAGTAAAGCTTTGTCTTTTTTTCCACTCCAGCAACTACGTGCATTTGTGTACATTTTTTTTCACTAGATTTGCCTCATTTCCAGAAATTCCTTTCCAGAGAAGTTGAAGAAACTTCAGTTTGCATTATGTGAAAATAATAATGAAGACCCTTTTCTGTTTGTTAATACTTAAAGTCAAGGATTTCACTGTTCTTTTCAACTGCCATCGGTGAATTCACTGTAGAAATAGGCCCTGAAAACAGTGTGGTGCCAATGTGGTGTCGCTTGCTTGGAGGATACAGAGTTCTTTCAGTGTTAAAGTATAAAGTATATATACTGCACGAGATAAATTGTGACATGTTGGGCCTACTTAATCAGACTAAAGTGGTGATTTTGCCCACTTTGACACAGTTCATGTTGCATTCCTTTCATCACGGTTCAGCAAAACTAGTGTTCTACACCACGACTTCCAGGTCCGGGATAGATCCAGAGCCATTTTTGTGGGGGGAGGGGAAGGGGGCAACTTTTTGGCAGAAGCCTACAGAGACAGTGTAGAGTGGTCAAATTATTTATAATAGCTTTATACATATGTATGGCATATTACTCTCAAGAGTTGGTCAGACTGTACTTAATTCACCTTCTTAAACTTTGAAAATGATAATCAGAGCAGCAACTCATTAAGAAACACTCTCTCTCTGTACCTTTTTAGGAAAAATTTCAGGAAAAGATACAGATGTTACTTGAGCATGCATGCATTGTGAGCCATGTCCAGTTAATTTGGAGGTCAGAGGTCCAAACAGAAACTAAATTAGGGAATACCACATTAAATGAGAATGAAACCAAACAGTGAGCAAACTCTAAACCTATAAAGTGATTTTTCCGTTATTCTGAGACATATCTTTTACTCTGCTTAACTGTCTCATAAATGCTTTTTTCATCAAGGTGACACAACAAAGCTTCTGTCAGGTGAGGATCCCATCGGAGGCAAACCCATGAAATTCCTAAATGACCTGGACATCGACTCAGACGGGGTCATATATTTCAGTGACTCTAGTTACCGTTGGCAACGCCGTCAAAATAGACATGCTGTTCTTGAAAACACCAAAACAGCAAGGTGTGGTTCATTTGCCTCTTTGTTAAGTGAGAAGAAGAAACATCCAACCATTTCCTACCCGTTCATAGTTACAGTGTATGTACCAGTATCAGAAAATGGTAGTGATACTGGCTGAAAACAATTAAAGGTTAAAATTCGGAAGAACTGTGTAATGAGTTTTTTACACAACCCCTTCCAAGTGTTATTGCCCAAGAGTAAACTACCTCCCCCTTTTGTTTACACGTAAAAATATCAAACCCCATGATTACTTACACTTCCATTGTCAAATTTGGATGAAGTCAAATGCAATATTCAGAGAATACAAAAAAACAAGCAGACAAACACATAAAATCACAAAAATTGTCTTTTGAACGTTGACCAAATCTCATTTTTCTGTACAGGGTGTTCAAGTTTGACCCCAAGACTGGAGAAAAGTCAGTCATACTTGATGACCTCTGCTTTGCCAATGGTATACAGTTGTCTCCAGATGAAGACTTCCTGCTAATAACAGAAACAACATATGCACAAGTAAAAAAGTAAGTTGAAAACAGAATGTTTAAATTAGTTCTTGACCATCCACTCAATTTGTAGTAAAATTTGTCCTTTGTAAAAGTACGGATGCCAGACCGATTGTTTGTGTACTTTTGCTCCCCATGTAAAAATTATTATATAAGCATTCTATATCTTTGTGCAGGGCAATTGAGAAAAATTGAATTGCAAAGATAAACCAATTTGCATTGCTGTGAATTGAAGCTTCATACTTGACTTTGCAGAGTGTGTGTTTAATCAAATGCTTACCACACATGCTCAGCATTAAATGTAGTCTACATATTACGTGCTGTTATCTGTTCCCAATCTCAGTGCCCTGTGATGAAATATTGTGCTTATGACAGTCATTCTTTGCCCGCACTGAAATGGGAGGTGAGCTAAATGTACATGAGCACATTAAACAATGGTAAAGAATCACTTAACTACATGTATAACATTCTAGCCAACCGCTGTGGCAGAATTTATCAATTTCTACAGATGGGAAGGCCAGCTATATGGGGAACGGTAGACTATAAGGGACTTATTTTGCATGTTTACTAAGATGTAGGGCTAGTGTACCAGTACACACCCATCAAGGGTGGCGGGAGAGGTCATGTTTACCCCACCTCCCATGATAGGGGGAGGGGCGAAATGTCACATGGTCCCCTGTACCATCTTCAACTAATGTTGATTCTAACCAGGGACATGTTTAATCCGTTTTATGTACCACACATATATGCACTGGCAGTTACATTGTGGTTGTAATATGTAAGTTGACTGTGCTCACACTGCACAGTGCCATTGTGATGATGGCAAAAGTGCATTATCAGCTGTTGGTTTAGAATAACCCTCATGGGCCACAGTTGTTGTGATGAATGCAAGTAGAGGTCCTTTGATGAGCGCGTGGCATTTATTGTGTTTTCAACCTTTTCTTTTCCACATAGTAGCTGTCACAATGGACCTTTCTCATGAAATATGCAAATTAGATAGGCACGCGTGCACACTACTAGTCTGTCAGCAGTGTAGGCGAGCTGCATCTGGCACGTTGAAGGTCAATCCAATTACAGCCTTTGTCTGATACTTCAACATGATTTTCTTGAAACTAAGTGAAGTTTTCAGTGTCCTAAGGTTGGAAAGTAACAATTCCTTGTCTATGAGTTTGGCAGTCATGTAAACTATACTACATGTAGTCACGGTACAGAAATGGTACGTATGTGCTCACAGTGGTGCACATGGAGATTTGTATTACGTCATAGATTTAAGCAACTTTGCCAACCAGTGGTAGTAACGCGTATGCGCCTGCCTTATGTGCATATTTCACGGGAAAGGTCCATTCTTCCACCATTGCTAGGGTTTGGGGCATATGTTTATGCTGTTCTCATTGCTCTTGTTTGTTCTAATGAGAGAGGGCCATGCATGTTTTGTCTATCAACAGATATTACCTGAAGGGTCCAAAGAAAGGACAGGTTGAGGTATTTGCTGATAACCTCCCTGGATTGGTTGATAACATCCGACCAAGGCGAGCAGGGGGTTACTGGGTTGGGATGGCCACAGTCAGGAAACAGCCAATTTCTGTGTATGACATCATTGCTGCAAGACCTTGGCTGAGTAAATTAATCACAAAGGTACGCTGTAATTTCAGTTCATGACTCGTGCATTTGATGCAGACTTCACAACATAGACTTAATTACTCAGTGTTGCTTTGGTACTCTAACTCAAAAAGTACTTTTTTGTTCTCATTTTAGCAACTTGGTACTTGACCCCAGTTCGAGACTCTTATTACTCATAATCATACCTGTCAAATGCAAACTTATTTAGGTCCATCTATGCTAAATCACCAAAATAAAAAATATTTCAGTGTCTGACTATTTGGATGAAATATTTTTGAAAAACTTTAACTATTCAAACTGAATGGAAACCAGTGCTTTAATACAGGTCTCCAATAAATAATAAATAAATAAAATTCAAAAATAAACTAAAATGCCAACAGTAGTCATGTTTGCATTTGCCCCTCAACACAGTGCTGATATAGAAACACAAAATATTCATTTTTCACATGCAAGCAGTGTTTCTTCCATTAGCCTGTTTTCCAATGTGACAGAATAGAGCAACTAACACAGGTGAATTATGCACTTAAGTTTCAAAATAATAGCGTAAAAATGAACACAAATGGAAGTTGTTGTGATGGAATCTACTGCACAATTTGAGTCGGTGAACTAAACTGAAACCAAATTATAATAAGGCATGCCATTTCAGGAAGGTCAAAAACCTCAGTGATGTTGTTCAGCTCCGAAGGTCACTCCATGAGTCCAATCTGCTATTCATTGGTCCTTCTGAATGAAAGCAAAATAGCAATTAAGTTTATACAAAAGAGTAGGTTTTTAGAAAAAGTCTGCATGGTTCATTTAACATTGACTTTATACTAAGATTGAATCAACACCAGCTGTATGGAAAGGAGGAAAAGACCTCATACTAGTTATTGTAGTTCACTAT